AGGAAATCAACCCAGAAAGGTAATTGAATTAATCCAGACTATGGAGAAGGCTCTGACAGATCTCACAAATCTCGAAAACATTGGTGGCATCAAAAATCCACTGGTGATCAAATCCATAGAATGTAAACTACCAGAATCTGAACAAAAGACTGGCTTGTATTCATGCTTAACCCCAGTAACAGTGCCATGCCTGTCAACCATTTTGATGCTCTTCTGAAATTCCTGAAAAAGCAGGAGAACATATTTGAGATACTTGAGCAGCTCAGAGTAACAGACAGAGCAACAGAAAGATCAGATGCACCAGATAGACTAGATGAGAAATGCAGCAAAAAATATGCTTCAACTAGAGCCACACGGCACAACGACAGTGAACACACATGCACTGTGTGTGGAGATAACAAGCAAAAAGACAGGATTTTCTTCTGCAAGAAATTCAGAGGACTACCACTGTCTGAGAAAGAATCTGCTGTCAAGCAACTGGGTGCATGCAGGGAGTGCCTTGGATGTCACAAAGGTACGAATGACTGTAAAGATAACTACCTGTGCAAAAACAAAGACTGCAAAAGGGCAGGATCCCCTAATCATCATTTCTTTCTCTGTCCAAGAGGAGGATATAAGAAAGACAATGGTGAGAAACTACAGAGAAGTGGTAGACAGCAAAATGACTTAACTGATGAGCAAGTGAAGTTTCTAAGTGAGCTCTCTTCAGAGCTAGCGGAAAGGTGCAAGAAAGCCTTCACCAACAACACCACAGTAGTAAAAGTGCTAGCAACCAGTTGGGACTGCTGGAGGAGAATGGAATCTTTGAGCCTCCTGTTATTATGATGCTAATGGAAGTCACTGCTAATGCTGGGCAAAAAATTGGAACCCTGATAGACCTCGCATCAGACACCAACTACATCACTCATAAAGCCGCCAGCAGATTAAATCTGAGGAGCGAGAGAATAACCCTGGTTGTGCATGGAGTCAGTGGAATGACAACTAGAGTTCACACAAGAAGATATCTTCTCACAGTCAGAGTCAAGACTCCCATAGGTACGCTCAGAGCCCATGAACTTGTTTGCTATGGTCTAAAAGAGATAGCTAAAGTGCATCATGTAGTCAAACCTGAACAACTAAAGAAATTCTTCCCAGAGGTTGAGCTGGAGGAATTAAGGAGACCAAAAGAGGTTGATCTTCTCATCAGCCACCGAGAAGGGAGGCTGGCTCCTCAAAGAGTGAAAGTTGTTGGAGACCTAGTCCTATGGGAGAGCCCCCTTGGCAAGTGGTGCACATCCTGACCTGTTTGAAGAGGTAAGGGTGAAAACATACAAGTCTGAAACACACTTTGCCCGTTCTATGAGAACAGCTGCAGTGAGGTATGAAGAAACTATCATAAACCCTGAGAGCCCGATCAAAATAAAAACGCCAGGGCTGCACAAAGACACCATGGTGAAAAACAGTCATACAGCTGCTAGCAAGCGGGAGTTCCTGGAGTGGTGGAAATGGGACAGCATCGGTGCAGCATGTGAACCAAAATGTGGTGGCTGCTGCTGTGGTAACTGCCAACCAGGAGGGAAGGAGATGACTCTAGTGGAGGAGAGAGAGCTTGAAGTCATAAAGGATGGACTTACTTATGTCACAGAGGACACTCACTGTAAGTCTCCTCACTGGGATACAAGATACCCTTGGACAGAGGACCCAACCTCTCTTCCCAACAATAAGAATGGAGTAGAGGCCACTTTCCTGAGAACTGAAAGACAGCTGAAGAGAGAGCCGCAATGGTATGCTGCCTATACAGCACAGGTTCATGAGATGCTGAAGCGGGGAGCAGCAAAGAAGCTTACAAAGGAGATGACTAAGAGCTGGACAGGGCCAGTATGGTATATCAGCCACTTAGTAGCACCCAACTCCCACTCGGTGACAACTCCAGTTCACCTGGTGTGGAACAGCAGCCAGAGATTCAAGGGAGTGAGCATAAATGATCTGCTCTTAAAGGGTCCAGATATACTTAATCCTATCAGAACTGCGCTCATCAGGTTCAGGAGAGGAATGCATGCAGCCCTTGGAGACATAAGAAAAATGTACAACTCTGTGTGGTTGGAAGAGCGAGAAGTGCACCTCCACAGGTTCCTCTGGAGAGACAGAGAGGATGAGGAGATAGAAGAGTATGCCATTACTAGAGTCAACATTGGTGATCACCCTGCTGGGTGCATAGCACAGTTAGCAATGCGGGAAACCACTCGGCTGCAAAAGTTTTCTGACCTAATCGAGGCACGCAGAGTCTTGGAGGAGGTCTCCTATGTGGACGATATACTCACATCCCACAATAGCAAAGAGAGGCTGGATGAGCTCACAGAAGAGGTTGAGGAGATACTCAAAGCTGGTGGGTTTTCTCTCAAGCCATGGGTCCGGTCAAGGCAAAGTGGGAGGTCAGAAAACACCGCTGGGAACCTTGGAACAATAAAGTCAACTGAAGAAAGCAAAGCTTTGATACTCCCAAACCAAATAAAAGATGAAGACAACAAAGCATTAGGTATTGGGTATCTAGTTGAGGAAGATACACTCTACGATGACCTCAATCAACTTTTCAAAGAGGAGAGGAAAGATGCAGACAGGCCAGGACCTGCACTGAGAAGAGGTGAGACCAAAGACACCAAACCCACTGACCAGAAGAGAACTGTTGAGCCAAGTAGTGGGGCTCTATGACCCAATAGGCCTAGTCACACCTACCAAGCAGAAAGGAGCCATTATCGTCAGAAAATCTTTTCAGGAAGCTGTGAAAGGAGGACTGGCCCAAGACACATGGGATAAGCCCCTCTCAGAGGGCCTGCGGGAGGAGGCCATTAAACTGTTTGAGGAATATACTGAGCTTACCCAGGTAAAATTCCACAGGGGTCTTACACTAGTTAATTGGTGGGGAAAACCCTGGGGGATTACGTTGTCAAATGGCAGTGACAAGTCGTATGGAGCAGTGATGTATCTCAGGTGGGAGACACATGGAGGTACAGATGTAAGGCTAGTTGAGTCCAAGGCAAAGCTAACATCGCTAGACCAAAAGGGTGATGAGGTCAAGGCTGAGATTTGTGGTGCGGTTTTTGCAGCCAGACTTAGGAAACATTTTGAGAAGTATGGCGGCATGGAGGTTGAGCAGTGGTTTCACCTAGTGGACAGTCGGACCGTGCTGGGAGCAATTCAGCGAGACAGCTATGGCTACCAGACCTTTTTCGCCAACAGAGTTGGAGAAATCCAAGAGGCTGGGCCAGTTGAAGACTGGTGGTGG